TGACATCTACAACAAAAATTACAGTGAAAAATTACAAACAAAAAATAAGTCTATCTGCATACGAAGTACTTTTTCCAGCATCAGAAAGACTGTTTTTCAATGGCAGGAATATAGTAGAGCCTATAGAAGACAACAATCTTCAGTATGTTACTGATCACAGCATAAATGGAAAGTACTAATCAACTAGAGCTTATTAGCTTGCACTTAGCACTTATTTGAAAAGCAAAAGAGACTTTCAGATACTCCAAAGAACAGACAATATTTGATTTTAAGGCTATGCCTTCTGAATGGAGGACATGAGGTTAAAAGGAGAACATTTGCTGGATATCTAGTGATCTTAATCAAATAGACTTAACACTATTTTTTAAAAGCAAAATAACCTTCAACTATATTCAGAAAGCAGGAAGAAATTACTCTTCTAGGCCTGCCCATGTATATTATTTACTATACACGTATCTAGTTCACATTACCAAATTTCCACTATAGTCCTCTAATATCCGATATGTAGAACAGCCACATGCCAACCATTTGCCCAGTCCTGTACTGCATTTTTCAGAATTTTGTCACAGTTCTAGTTCTTGCCCTTTTATTGACAACTCATTTTTATGACATATATTAATTCCAGCAGCCAAATTGTAAATTTAACCTTACCTTAGTGAAACTGAATAGGCACCATTATGTTTGTTCCTTAAATAGCAGAGCATTCATGGACTTTCCAAATGATCATAGCAACAACAACGAAATGTCTGCATATTACTTTTACAAGTGCGATACAATATAAATATATCAGTCATACCTAGTGTTCGAAAAGCTGTTTCTATCCAGTTACGGAGGAAGCCCTTGCTCAGGTTTCTTTTTCAAAAAGGATATTCCTCTGATGATCCAGCTGTTTCCCAGATGTCTAATCGCCCCAACCTATTTGAGCAGGAAAGTCAGCTTCCTGTAGCAACTTCCAGGATAGAATGCTTCAGGATGTCATGATTCAAAACAAAAATTCCAAAAAGGAGATTCTGTTCTCTTTAAAACAAATAGCTAAAGAATTGTGTGCAATTTACCAGGAGTGAGAAGAGGAGAATCTACAAGAACTGTATTAGAAGGATGAACAGAAAGATCCATGATCATACTTAATTTTAAAAACCAGGTACCACTATAGCTCAGGTTTCTTTGACCAATTATTTGGACTATATGAAGCCTGTGACCATTATTTATTTATTTTATATATCACATTTAAAAACCACCCATCTCCCTCATGGATGGGACATTTACATGGACATTCTGTATTACCTTTATCTTAGTTCTGTTTTTTTTTAAATCTCAAAACACCAGCAGATCTTCATGCAATGATTGGCTTCAAATATTGTATTGGGGGACTTGTTAACTGTATTTGTGTTCTTTCTATGAGTGTGAAACAATCTTTTTTAGTTTAGTGATTCGCAGATCTGCTGAGTCATCAAACACACACACACATCCTTTGTATTTTTCACCATTTTACTGATGGGAAATTTTGGGACTGCATTCCCAATATACTGTATCTAGAAGATTACAAACTGGAATAATTGCCACAATACTTTTATTAATGGCAACTACCTTATAGGTTTTGCCCATACTTAACTTAGGGCCCGAACATACATAATGTATTGTTGTTGAGAATCACATTGTTACAAGACTTTCTTTTTTATGCTGAATTAATTTTACTGCAGATCTTTTTAAAAAGTGTGTTGTCAATTTTGTATTTAATTTTTAGTTTACAAAGAAGTTGGTCATAGATCTACTGTACATCTATTTTCTACCTATCAAAAAAAATCCATGTGTTTTCCCAAGGATGAAGATGCGGTTGAAGATACTTGGTTTCTATATTTTCAGAAATGAAAGTTCAGCCATTGCTTCCAAGTTTCTGTAGCCCAGCAACCTTAGGGCAGTACAGAGTACAATCTTATACCACTACAGAAATAGAGAGTTTAATTTGAATTATTATGCTTTCCTACAAACTTTACATTAAGATACTGCCGATGCAGATTTCAGAATTCTCAGCCTTCCCCTTTTCTTATTTTTTGTAACATTTTGGCTACCTGTACTTTTGTTAATTATTTAAAAGAGGAAGGTTTTCTAAGCTGTATAAACAATTTGCATCTTCTAAACTCATTGATTATAAGAACACAATTGCCATGCCTTTCTCTGATTAATTAAATACTAGTATCTATTATAGCAACACCAAGTCATAATTTGTATTATTATTTCACCATGTGTTTGTTGCTTGTCCTAGCATGTGAATCTACTCATGATAAGATTGTCAACCAAAGACTATTTTTTCATATCATATACTGTATATAAAACTTTTACTCTATCTTCTTCTTTGTTCATAACAACACAATGAAGAAATCATTCTGGTCCTGATTTTAATATTAGTTCTGTCTTGCATATGCAAAATTAACCCTTCCTTATTCCAGAATAATTCATTTGGAGCAACATCCCATGGGTTCCATAGTGCATATTCTCATAATAACTAATGATGTATTTTTAAAAGTCATATAAAATAGATGAACATGAAATAATAAGCCTCTTATAACTCTTTGCATGCCATTCCAGCAGCGTTATGGCACTTCTGCATAGGTTTATTCTATTTTGAGGAGGCACTTGTATGACTGAGTAAGAATTATTAAATAAGGAATTATAAAATCTGAGCTGATCTAGATGAGACAGATTAACAAATGCAGAAGAGAAACCTACACACCTGACCAGCCCTTTGTGATCATGGATTCTGCATTGTCCTTGTCCACAAAAAGTGGTTCTTACAAGCCTATAATTAATGTGACAAAAAAATTCATCCATAACATGAAGGTTGATGAAAAAAATTAAAATTTATTCTTTCAGACATAACTTCAGTGTCTTCCATTGCAGCACCACATGGAGCAATTCCAGCAGATACCAAACCTCTATTAGCCAGGAAATGTAATGATGGGTGAAATATCATCACAGGAGTTGTTCACCTATTCCATGCAGCTGGTAGATACAAAAATTGAGGAGAGGAAATCCTTGACAAACCATTAACAAAGAATTAAAAGATGTGTACCTTGCTCTTTTTAATGCATGTTTGTAGCTATAGCAGAAGCAATGATGTGGTTAAGTGGTTTAGGACAAGTCTAGAGAAGAAATAGTTATTATTATGGATTTATTTAATTCAAAGGGAAGTATGAATATCAATCTAATGCATATGAATTATCACTTAATGGATATTAATTATGCCTTTGTAATCTTGAAAACCTCTGCTGCTTTTTACCATTAAGAACTTCAAACTGGAAATAACACTTAGCCATCCATTATATGCTTTTTGAGTGATCTGAGGATCACTTCCTCTAGGACAAAAAGACCTAAAGAGCAATAATTATTGCACATTACTATGGGATACAAAATCACAGTACTGAATGTACGTGTGTGTGTGTGTGTATGTGTGTGTGTGTATGCGAGTATGTGTGTGAGTGTATGCGTATGTGTATGATAAATATACCATTTCATACATATTTCCACACTTGAGAATGCATGTAGAAAAAAAGAAAACCCAATCAGTCTTTCAATATATCAATATATCATTCAGGATAGAGTTTTACTCCATCTATTTTAAGATTAAGCTCATTCAATTTATTTGAATTTATTTCCCAGTTAGTCATGTACCATCAGATAAATACTTTATTGATTAGTGAGTTGACTATTAGGATTGTAATATAGTTCACTTTGTCATTGATTAAAAAATAATATCGGATTCATACAAAGAAGAAACCATTTTAGCTCCACAGTGAAACATCTTCATAACTTGTATAAAGAGGAGAAATGGTCTAATCAGTTTTTTTTCCTAAGGGCCAAATTCTATCAAGAAAGTTTTGAAGATATTTTTTTTAAATCTTCATCCTTATACTATCTCTCTGAACATTTGTACATATGAAAAATACCATTTGTTATTAGACAGCATGATATATAAACGGACAAAATAGATACATGTGGCTTTCAAAAATTTCTCCAGTGCAACAAGCAGGGGACAAATTTCTCTCCTACTCTCTTTTTTTCCTGCTTGTATCATTTCCCACTTCAAAACAAATCACAATTTGGGCATATTATCCAGGAGGAACTCTTTGCAGCTTATTATTATTATTATTCAGCATATGAACCCTATGCTGCCCCAATTTGCAATTCTCTTTTTGCTATCCTACTTATCCAATAGAAACTTATTTGAGTAAAATAAGTTTATTTGAGTGATATGAGTAAAATATGAAAGAAGAGGAAAGTGTTTGGGTTTTTTTTAGTTTGAAGTCATTATTTAAAATGGGTCACTTTTTAATCCTATTCAGCTATATAGAAGCCAGAGCAGGTAGGAAAGTTATTTCTCCAGCCTCCCTGGAGTATAACCATTTGGCTTCCTTCCTGGCCAGGAATTGGGCAGTGTGAGACCATATTCACACAGGATCATTTCTCTGCAGCTTTCCTTTTTATTACAACCCTGAAGTCTGCCACATCGTTAACAGTAATAACTACCTTGCTAACAGTGTTGCCTTACTACTATCAGTAAATAATTACAGCAAAATCCTTACTCCCTTCAGTAATGTTCTTTCCAACCCTTTGCTCTTTGAAACTAATCATTTTAGGATCACCACTAAGAACATACCATTGTACTATCAGCCAAATTAACATACAGCTAGCCATAAATACAACACACAGTTCTGATGGATTTCCCAGAGAGATTACAGAGCACTTAATCCTGCCTAAACCAAACATACTGAATGCAAATTTGATGCCAATTTCCTTCCAGGCATTGGTTAGGAGATGTAGATGTGGGCAGCACCAGCATCTTAAATTCTGTGTGCTCAAATCATTGCCCTCTCATCTAAAGTACTCCAAATCAATCTTTCCTCCCCATGTGGAATAGCTCTGTAAATCATTCCCAATAAACAGTGCATGCCACAAATGATGTCTTCTAGCCTTAAGGGTCCAATAACCTGATGGCACCTTACCTGTTGACTGCATGCTCTCTTGAATCGCCTCGACTTCAGACAGGTCCATGCAAACACCTTGGCCATGCATGAGTGTGTGCAAGGGCTTTTCCATTCCCCGTGGTGGGTAACATCGCAGCCCTGAACCACAGCGAGATGTGTATACCCCACAGAGCATCCCTTTTGTTAAGGCACACGTGGCACAACATCCACAGCCTGGTTCCTGCACCAGCTCCTCACATCCAGAGGGTGTCCTGCAGCGTGCCAGCTTCTCCTCAGAACATGGAGGGCACTGGATAGCCTCAAGGCTCACAGAAAAGCCCACCTGGGCTAGAAGCAGCAGGGCAACAGACACCCCGTGGGAGGGCATGGTAGGCAGGCTACGGTCCTGGAGAGTGAAGGGCCAAGAAACAAAGGCTGCAAAGAATAGTCTTGCTGCTAGAGCAGACTGCCTGATCTCCAGCGAGGGGGACTCTGTACTGAAGGGGGGAGAAGCTCATTCTTTGGACTTTATACCACTCTCTGGCCACACCTCCCTGCTCTAGGGAGAAGCAGAGAAGGAACAGCACAGCAGCCACATAACTGAGGCAGCTTGCCCCGCAGCCCAGAAAAGACCTTATTTGCCCTGAGGAAGGAAGCACAAAGAGCCTGCCGCAGCTGCGAAGACTGAAACCTGTGCTAGGAATGGAAAACAGCAACAGGAGCAGCAGCCCTCCCACCATGCTTCCCCTGTTACTTTAGTAAGTTAAGAGTGAGGGCACTTCCCCAACAGGTTTCTCACAAACTCTTTTGTTACATGTACAGCACGCAGTATAAAAAGCACAACTCATCCAGTGCTCTGCTTCTCAGCCAACCCTCCAAGGTGAGGTCATTCTCTGTTCTCTTCAGCAATAGAAAACTGAGATACACTGCCTTTGACTTTGGAAGTTCCAGCTTAATTACTGCGTTGCATATTTCATGAACTGTCTAAAGTTCCTTTTCATAAATTTAGGTGGATGGCCATTATCTACTTTTGCAGAAATGCATTTCTTTTGTGATTCTCTAGAAACAAGGGAAAGTAGATGTACATTTCTCGTTGCATTCCCTTGCTTGAGCAGAAAGTCACTCCCCAAAATGTGAGTTTTTGGAAGATGCTCAAAAATGTGTCTGGAACTTCTCCACATTCCTTGGAGAAAGATGTACAGGTTCCCTCTACTGAATAGGCATTTAAGAGGGGGGGGGATAAACAGCTCTACCATGCATATGCCACAACATCTAAAGATACCTAAGATGGACACTAAAGAAATATTGACTTTGGTTTGTCTCTCACTTCACAGGTTGAGAACTGATTCTGGTGGACAAAATAGTCACTCTCAGTTCTGCAAGCCCAAGAACCCCATTGCCTATGATTGTAGCCATTCTTTATCAAGTGAGACCCTTCCATTGACTATGTTAGCTGAAAATTTTGGAAATGCTTATTGCATCACCTCTGAAGGGCACCAGATTAGGGAAAGCAGGATTATCACCTGATCATTTAAAAGATTGCCTGCAGCATGCTCTTAAGATTCTAGATGTGTTCATCAGCCCCCAAAGTTGGATATCTTTGCATGAAGCCATAAATCATAGCTTACAAACCATAAAGGTTGGTTCATACATCCTGTTAAGCCACAAACAAGCAATCATATTGTGACTTAGTATGACTCATGAATCCAGTCCTTGGAATTATGGGAAGAGAAGCTTGAAACCTGGAAACACCTTTCAAGATTATTGTTATCCTGCAAAGTTTTAAAGGCATAATTTGGCCTTTAGAGAATATAAAATATTTCCTATCAATAAAATATTCACCTGAACATTTTCTGGGTTGATTTTGGTTACCTGGGTACCATAAAGCCACCCTGAATATCTTCAAGGGCATCCTTATACTTAATTTTTGGCTTGCTCCTGGAGTTGGTTTTGGCACTGAAAATAAATTCCAGAATAAAACTCTGTGAAACTTCACAGTATTTTTGTTCAGGACAGCAAGATCAAAAGGAGGACACAACTTCATTCTTCACTATAAAATATTGTGTGAAGAGGAGGAGAGGGAATGTCATTAATTATAGCTTACTGAACAATCCTCTTAAAATTTCCTTTCCTGCCTGTGCTACCCTTTCACTCTTCCTCTTTCTTTTCTTTTTTAGCATAAGAATTTTTGCCTTTTGCCAAAAATTCCAGAGTGATATAGATATCTTTGACATTCAGAAGACTGCACCTTTACATTTCATCTCAACTGGCATCTTCTCTAGCTTACACCTATCAAATTTTGGAGACAAAAATCCAGACTGCCACTAAAAGGCAGTGAGAAATACAAATATTTTTATTCTTTTCCACTATCTAATGTTTTCTGGATTTTTGCAACCTGCATGTAGTAGCCGTAGTCTAGTTCAATCAAAATACATTTAAACATGATGATCTAGTCCAGGGGTAGGCAACCTTGGCTCTTTTATGATTCGTGAACTTCAGCTCCCAGAATTCCTGAGCCAGCCACGCTTGGCTCAGGAATTCTGGGAGTTGAAGTCCACGAGTCATAAAAGAGCCAAGGTTGCCTACCCCTGATCTAGTCCAATCCCCTGCTCAAGCAGGAAACCCTATACTCCTATACTATTTCAGACAAATCCTTGTCCAATCTCTTCTTTAAAATCTCCAGGACTGGAGCACCCACAATTCCTGGAGGCAAGTCGTTCCACTGATTAATTATTCTAACTGTCAGGAAATTTCTCCTTAATTGTAGGTTGGTTGTCTCCTTGATTAATCTCCATCCATTGCTTCTTGTTCTGCATTCAGGTGTTTTGATTGACCCCATCTTCATTGTGGCAGTCCCTTAGATATTGGATAACTGCTATCACACCACTTCTAATCCTTTTTTTTCATTAAACTAGAATGCCCTATTTCTGCAACCATTCTTTATATGTTTTAGCCTCTAGTCCCCTAATCATCTTTGTTGTTCTTCTCTGCACTCTTTCTAGAATCTCAACATCTTTTTTATATCATGGTGACAAAAACTGGATGCAGTATTCCAAGGCATTATAAAGTGGTATCAACACTTTATTTTTTAAAAAAAATATACTGTATTTTATTGATTTCTTAACATAATCACCTTAATATTTGGTAAACAGCATATTGTGTGGGTTTATATTTAAAAAACAATCAGTAACAATTAGTTTCTATAATTATATAGTTCACATAGTACAGTGGTTCTCAACCTTTTTAATGCCGCGACCCCAACCGGTCGTAAGTCGAGGACTAAACCGGTCATAAGTCGAGGACTAAACCAGTCATAAGTCGAGGACTAAACCGGTCGTAAGTCAAGGACTACCCAACCGGTTGTAAGTCGAGGACTTTCCCTGCCCAGGAGCGCCGCGCATGCGTGGTTCCGCCCCCTGCGCCGGCCGAGGCATAGCTGGCAAGCGGCAGAGACGGAGCAGCTGGCCCAGCCCAAGGGAGGTAAGGCACCTGCCGGAAAAGGGGGAAAAAATGGCAGACAAAAAAAATGGCGGACAGCCTTGCTTGGCGACCCCCATGAAATGGTTGATCGACCCCAAATGGGGTCCCGACCCACAGGTTGAGAACCACTGACATAGTAGCTTTGCTTGATTTTCTCTTCTTCCAATAATATTCTCTTTTGCCAACCTTGGATTAATACAATTCTTATTGTTTTGATAAATAACAATTAAATATAGACATTTTTCTAATATTTCTGCAAATAATAACCACATCAATATAAAGCTTTTTTTCTAACTGATCATCTTGATTGCCTCATCATAGATCCTGTTTACAAAATTCTTATTTAGATTTGTTTTCCCCACAATGTTCAAAACATTCTTACCAGTTAAGATTTTCTCAAAGTTCATTACACTTAAGTATTTTTTTCCTCATACAGGCCATCCCAACATTTACATTTCTCATGTCTTAAAAAAAAGAGAGAGAGAGGAAAAAGAAATAAGAAAATAGTATACTACCAAAAATACATGTCCCTCTTAAGCTAATGTACATTTATATCCAGAATTTTTCTCTTCTCTTTAACCATATTCAAACATATGTTTAATCTTTAAATGTTCCATTTAATAAATCCAATTACCTAATCTTTTAGATCTATTCAAAACATTTTTATTGATTAAAGTTTTCTCAAGATCAATTACATTAAGTATCTAAAATATTTCCTTTATATAAACCATCCCAACATTTTTATATTTCTCATGTCAAAAAACAAAAGAAAAAAGAAAAAAAGAACAAATACTCAAATGTTACTTGAGGGGCTCATCCCTCTCGAACTAAAATTCATTTATATCCAAAATCTTTATATTTCTTATTCAAACAGATGTTTAATTTTTAAATATTCCTTCTGATAAATCCCATCATCTAATTTCTTAATTCTCATTTTAGCTAAAAAAAAATTTGCCAAACTTTTTCCTGAACAATGTGCTCTGCTGAATCAAAGAGTCTTCCCATAGTCTTGTAGATGTTGTTGTAGGTACAAAAGACAAATCAAGTAAGATGTTTTTATGGGAAGATTTCGCCCCTTCATATTCATTGAATATCCTTTCCTTTCTTTCTCTCTTAATTTCTCTTATCATTTTTTATCTCTCAAGTTCTCATGGTTCTCCTGACTGCTCTTTAATCTATTTTGTTGAATCTTTTTTCTTGTCCTCAGACTTATTTTGTGACCTTAGAGCAGTGGTTCTCAACCTGTGGGTCGGGACCCCATTTGGGGTCGATCGACCATTTCATGGGGGTCGCCAAGCAAGGCTGTCCGCCATTTTTTTGTCCGCCATTTTTTTTGTCTGCCATTTTTTTCCCCTTTTCCGGCGGGTGCCTTACCTCCCTTGGGCTGGGCCAGCTGGTGGTCGTCCTGCTCCGTCTCTGCCGCTTGCCAGCTATGCCTCGGCCGGCGCAGGGGGCGGAACCATGCATGCATGGCGCTCCCGGGCAGGGAAAGTCCTCGACTTATGACCGGTTGGGTAGTCCTCGACTTATGACCGGTTTAGTCCTTGACTTACAACCGGTTTAATCCTTGACTTACGACCGGTTTAGTCCTCGACTTACGACTGGTTGGGGTCGCGGCATTAAAAAGGTTGAGAACCACTGCCTTAGAGTATAAGGTATCTTTTCCATATCCAATATTTCCTGCAAGTTTTTTCCACCTGGATTAAGTCATACTTCCTTCTATTGTTAGGTTCCATCTTTAAATCTCTTTCCTCTGGTTTATGTTCAGCTGTCTATTTTATCTGCTCACTCTCTATTTTTATTTTCGGAGAGTTTTTTTGTTGTAAAGTTAAATTGGAGATGTATTCATTTATATTTTCAAAGTTATTATTAATTTCCTCGTGGTTTCAGATTATTGATATTTAATTAGTTGCAACATAGCATACATCTCCTCCTGGAAAGTGTTTGTTTTTTCTTGGTATATTCTTTCTGCAGATCTCTGGTTTTCCATGATAGCCAAAAATCAGGGTTTTTCTTT